AATGAATAAGTGCATTCTGGCTCTTTGGAAATTATTAAATCTAGATTTTTTTAAGATCTAATGTTGATACTTCAGATAGACATATGGCTGTCTTCCTTGTGGCATATGGCTTGTGGCACTTCTTTCTGAAATACCTAAATGTATCATAACAAATAACGATCTAAGGAAAACAAACTAAAATCTTAGAACTTCTGTTGTTAGCTTTACTTTATTAAAGTAGTGAAGTAGTTTTCTTTCTGTGGTTTTAACATTATGCCACTGTCACAAAGAAGAAAATTTTATTGTGTGAAATAATATTGGTGTTCAATTCTTGTACTGTACTTTTCATCAAAGGGATCTCTTTAAGTTAAAGTTGTCATTAAGTAATGAAATACCTCTCAGTAAGTAAATGGCATGCTAAAAATAAATTGGGATCAGATAAGGAGCAAGGAACGGCATCTCATTTGTAAGCATTTTTCTTGTATAATATATTGGAATGTTTGTCTATGTTTTAGATAAATATTTTGACTTTCAAAAAAAAGTTAATTGTTGTTGATTAGTGTGGTTCCAAATGAAACATTGCTTCCTTCTCAGAGGGTAAAAATTTTAATATGCTATTGATAAACATATCCATATTAATTGTGATGAAGGCAAGTTAAAGAATGATACTGCATCAGCAGTCCAGTATGAAAATGAGTGTTAATGAATGCAGCTGTCAAACAGTTGCATCTTGTTGGTTGATGAAGTGAGTTAGATTCATTTCTGCTAAACCATGTTAATTAACATGGAATTCATTTACTTTATCAGGATGTATAGATATTAACAGGTGCTTAGTTTGTTTAAATATCCAGAAACTATTAACTGGCTTAGTAAGAGGATAAACTATATTGTAATACAGGCAGCTTTCTTACTTTAAAATATAATTGATAATGTAAAGTAAGAAGCTTAAGTAGCTTTAGTTTCACAGGTACTTCTAAGAGTAATTTCAGAACATTGAAAATGGCTACATTTAATTCATATTGTTCTTAGCACTGAGAATTCAGAGGATGATGACTTTGGAACTGTATATGCAAAACTGGTTGCAAAGTCATTTTCACTTGATGTAGAGGATACAGTTCCAGAGTATACTGGGGAAAAGAGCCTCCACTGGTTAGTGTCATGCATTTGGCATCTGGGTGGTACAAGAGGTATGTCTTAAAAGTAATCTCTGTTGACAGTGAAGCAGAGTAATTAAATCTACATTAATTATACAACTCCCACAAAACTGTTTGGCTATTCCTAGACTTCTTTCAAGATTCCTGCAATATCGAGTTTTATGACTATTAGAAATAGTTCATATCTCTGTGGCATTAGTTTTGAAAAGCTTCCATTGAATCAGATATTAGCAGCCACATTGCTTGTGTAAATGTCTTTATGAAAGGTATAGTGTTCCCCTCTTTTGAACCAAAGCCAAGATACTGCTTTTTAAAAAAAAAAAAACAAAAAAAAACCACAAAGATTATGATTGGGGATAACATTTTTGATGAAGAGTCAGATGATGAGTAGGAAAGAGATTTGGTACAGATATTCTGATGTAGGGTGTGAAAAAACAGAAGTATGTGACCTTGAGATGAAAAGAAGAGAAAGTTGGAATGGGGGTACGAAGAAGCCAACAATGGTGGTTAGTCTGCTCCGGGATGTTAAATAACATCCAGGAATCTTGTGAATTGTCTTGCCAGTAAGTACCCGTAAACTGCAAAGATGTTTGGATGGAAGCAAATTGATAGTTGATAGTGACTGTTCCCTTAAGCCACCTGGAGTACTAACCCCTCCAAGATGAATACCTCTGTTGGTAATCAGTATCAGGATCATAATTCTTTTGATTATTTCTAAATGTAATTTTATGATCCTCTGCCTTCAGATGAGCTTTAAAAAAAAAAATCATCAGCGATAACTAATTTTTAAGAGCGATGAGAATTTGTGTAATATAGTATCAGTCAAGTATTTCAGCACTTTAGCCCTTATTTTATAAAACATCAGGATGCTGTGATCTTACATGTTTTACTTGCATGTTTGATGTATTTGATACGTTTTGACCAACATTTATTAAGGTTTACATAAGAAGGTTGCTCTTTTCTACTGTAGTATACCAAGGTGTGTATTGTAAAACCAATATCAAAAACTGTATTGTGTTTTTGTCTCGAGTTTTTGTTCCTGGCAGCATATTCCTTATTTGTATTAAAGTAGCGTCTAATAGTCCTACTGGGGCTAGATGATAAGTAAGGCACATAGTACAGGAGGATCCATGTCTGGAGAGCTTATAGCCCAAACAGACAAGCTGGGTGAAGCAGGCTGAGAGGCAGAGGGAAGCGAAGGGAGAGGTCTTGCTGATACTCACCCAGTGTCAACAGAACAGAGCTCAGCTCCTTTGCTTCCCTGTGCTGAGCCAGGTTTCCTGTCGTGTGCTAAGTTATAGGTAGTTGAAAGTCTTGTGTGTTTGTTTGGGCAATTAGTGGTAGGCAGAAACATTTGTCAAAAATGAGTATGTGTTATCAAGAACTATATTTAGCTCTTCCCACTGAATAAAAAAGAAAGGACAAAGAACCCGAGGATGTGCAAACCCTTCTGTAGACTCTTGACAAGAATCTCTTCCATGTTTGCTTGGTAAAACAGCACCAGACACTTTGCAGGTTTCGAAGTTAGGGCAGGATTTGTCCCACTGTGTGGAATTTGGAGAAATGGCATGTTTTGCTTTACAATTTGCATGTGCAAAAATAAAATAATACTAAATTATTTTCCTTGGAGCAGCTTTTCAGAGGCACTATGTGCTTATATTACATGTTGAAACAATAACTGTATATTGCAGTACAGGTAGTACAAAGAGCCAAGTTAGGTATTAGCTTGCTGTTGGTTTGAAAATGGTGACTTTGGATAAGATACTCATACAGTAACGTTTGCATGATACCAGCTATGTGTCAGACTATATTTCTGACCTGCACCTCCCAGGAAACGAATACTTGCTCCAGTGCAAAATTTCTTATTCTGTGAAGCCATCCACTTTACAACTTTGCCTGAGATCACTCTAAGCCAGTTGGCCCTCGCTTAAATATTCATCAGACTTCTGATAATTGTGATAACCCTTATAGGCTGGCAAGCATGGCAAATTAGCAAAAAGATGATTGATCTTTTTTTATATGCAGTTTTATCTTCAACCTTTCCTGGATATATGTTATACTATAGTAATAATTTCTTCTCTAAGGTATTTGCCAGTATCTGGATTTGCACATCTATTTACAGTTGCCTTGAAGCCTCATAATTACAATACAGCTGAAATGTCCATTTTCTTTCCCTGACTACAAATAGGGATCAATCGAATTTTAAATGACTGCTTACGGGCTAGCTTCCGATCATGACCTTTGTAAATGATTAGAGCTCACCACTGTTGCTATCTACCTTGAAAGGGTAAGCGGGCAGGTCTGTCTAACTGGCATTTAATCTGGAAGAGAGCCAAAGATATTTGAGCTAAAAACCTAATATGAGTTGGCAAAGAGAAGTATGTATAGACCTTTGCACTATTATTTAGATATTTTTCCACATTTATTTTTCATAGTTAAGAAATTCTTTTATCCTGCAGATAAAGGGGTTGTATATTTGTAGATAGTCTTGTATTGAATAGCTGAAGTTGCAAAATACATAGCAGAAAAATGTGAAAAAATGGGTTTTCAAACTCTAAATGTACTGAGTTTTCTTTTTCTGAAGAATGTGAAAATACGTTGCATTGCTAAATGAATAAACCTGCAAAATGCACTGCAAAATAGGGTGCATGAAGCAGACCTGCTTTTTCTAGGCAGAAGTGAATGGAGAAAAGATACCGTACATGGGTACTTTTTTGTTTAAGCATTCTTTCCTTTTAACATGGACCAAGATTGTTCAGGCCCCGCTTATATACAGAGCTCCCATGTAATTAATGGCAGAGACATTTCTATCTACATTTGTCAGTTCAGTTTTATTTTAATGAGGAATTGTGCCTGTATCATACAATGTTTTTATTACCACTACTGAATTTCTTCAGGTAGCGTTCTGTGTGTTGCTGTTGAAGTAGGAACAAGTGTGAAATCAATGAGATTGGAAAACAAACACCTCCTCTGAGTTTATTGAAGGATTTTGCAAACCCAAAGTTTTGAAATTAATAAGAATGATTGCTAAGAGCTACGAATGCTTTTATCTAATTAAAATCATATGCTGCGTTACCTAGTCAATTATTCTTGTGTAGTATTGATGATCAGAGTATTTATTAAAGTAATATTGTTCATGGGAATATGTTTCTTACCATTAACTCTCTAAAAAGATGATACGGTTTATAATGAATATGCAATCTTACCTCTTCATCGTGTAGTGGCCAGAGTTTTTTCTCTTATTTTCTGTAGCATGCCACACTGTTATGTAGTGCAGCTGGCAGGTTGTTTTCTTAGCCTCAAATTAGTTAAATGTGTTGTTGCCTAAATCCTAATCCCAGAAAGCAGTTGTAAATTCAGTTTGTAGGGTTTTTGCATCAGCGTTACCTTCTGCTAGCGTTTAGGTAGAGGTGTTTTATTCATTTAGATAGGAATTTTTTGAAAGCAACTATCAAGTATATTTGAAATATTCAAAGTAAGTCTAAGATGAAAAAAATGTTTGAGTTTTTTCTGAGGATTTGAATTGGTATTTACATTCTTCGTATCAGTCTTAAACTAGAGATGTGTAGTTAGTATTCAGTACTTACTGGCTCGGGCAGTTTTCAAGGATAAGGATGGGGTTTTCAAAAATGATTCAGTTATTTGGAAGCAGAAATCCTGTGGAAAGTCAAGAGTACTTCTGTATCTTACTGCTCCACTGCAAGGCTGCATGCTTGAGCTGCTAAAATGGTATTTCTGGAAAGAGCAAAGTACTGTTAGGGATTGCTCATGTGTGATTTTTACCTAATGCTTGCAAGTCTGAGAATAACTTCTTGAAATGACAACAGAAAAAAAACTAAACAGGGTTTTTTTTTCTCTCCCTAATAGATGCAGCAACAAGAACTTGCACAAATGAGGCAAAGGGATGCCAATCTAACTGCATTGGCAGCTATCGGTCCCCGGAAGAAACGGAAGCTTGATTCACCTGGACTGCTTACCATAGGAGGAGAGGTATGTCTATACACAGTGTAAGAGAATTGAAAACCTAGTAGGAGTAACTAGAGATGCTACATGCTAGTATTTTCAGTAAACTGTGTAACTTGGAAAAGGTGATACAAATTACTAAATTAGGACTGTAAGTCCAGTTTATCTTTCTCCACCACAGTTAAAATCTTCTCTTCGTTTTATTTTTCAAGTGTTAACTTTAAACAGATATTTAAAAAATATTTTTAAAAGAAGTTAAACCTGAAGTCTAGGTCTCTCCCTAAAAATGCTCACTGCCTTTATACTGGTTTTCTCCTATGTGTAATCCAAAGGAAAACAGAAAGAAAGAGTAGGGCATGACATAACTGTAGCATTGCTTAGTTTGGACCAAGAGCTTGTAGTAATACAGAAATTAACACAGCAATTACAGAATGGCTGGTTGTCCCCCACAACTGCAAAGATGAGTTTGTAATCATTCTAAATTGTATGTAATTTTAATAAGAATACTCTAGAAATAGAATCAGATTTGTTAGTATGATTCTTCTGTTATCTTAAATGGAGAAGTAGCTCTACTGTGCAACGCAAGATCCTCAAAAGTGGCCTGTATATTAACCTAGGATAACACGGCTGTATTACCTTGGATAATTCTTAGAGAGTACTGTGTTGTCTAGTACAGATGTAGTTGGGCTTTTGTTTCTGCTAAATATGCCTACACAATAGGAGTCAAAGTAGTTCTCCCTATTATGTGTCTGTTCCGAGGAAAATGCGTTTTGTTTTGAATAACTGACTAACAGTTTTGGCTCATACTGACTGTCTAAATGCCAGGGATTTCCGAAGGCCTTTTTGTTTCCCATTTTGGATAGCTTTTATCTGACTACTCTCTCTCTTCTCATGTGCTAAGATTAGTGCTAAGGAATGAGCTGAGCTAGGAATAGAAGTGGATCTTGCTTATATTCTAAAGTTGACTTATGACTTCAGATACACAGGAGGTGCATCCGTTTTCTGGTCAAATTAGTTTCAGACTGAGGGAGCTTCCTGGGTTTTGTGTTGTCCTGTTACATTCCCTTCCTTTTGGTCTCCCTCCCTGTCTTACATTCAGTAAAGCATTCTGTTCTCCTCTGTATGCACCTGTAAGAAACCCTGTAGCAACAGGCCAGAAGAAGCTTTCATTAGAAGCTCAATTGGATAGTGATAGCATTGGCTTTCACACAAATTCATTTAAAAATAATTCGATCTTTCTAACAATAAATGAATCACTTTGGATTTTAACAAATGTACATTCACTGCTTGTCTTCACTTGACCAAAGGAATGTTTTCTCCTACTTATCAGAATTTATTTTTTATTATCTGTTGCCCCTTTTAAAAAAATGATCCTTTTTTAAGCTTTTATAGTTTGATGAACCAAATTGTGGTCACCTTCAGTGAAACATTTTATTCAGAGCTATATGCCTGAATGGATTTGTGGTGAACCTCTTCCCTCACTCTAGAAGCTCCTTACTCTCCTGGTACACAGCTTTAAGGAAAGATAAAGGTCTGTGGCAAATTCCAATGGCTTCAGGGGATTTTTGCCTCCTTTTGTTGCTCCCCTAGCCCAAATTTTGCTGAACGTCTGTGTTATTCAATAGACAAATTATCCTTGGAGTTTTTGCCGATGCATGGATTTCCTGGAGTTATGAATTGTGTGGATCTTCTGCCAGTTCAGACTGAATTGCTCCCATCCCTCTTCTAGCTTCTAACCTTCCTGGCCAACTCACATTGGTGCCTGGCTGCAAGCTGATTTCAAGGATTTGGATACTGTATCTGGATTATTCAATGTCTTTTCTAGGGACAGGATCTAGAGCATTGTAGAAGCTGTGTCATGCAGGTTGGCTACTAGAAACTGTTACTCTTCTGAGGTATTCATTAGGGCTGTGATGCAGAAATAAACTCAACTCCTCCAAAATGTTTCACTTTAAAAAGGTACTGGAAATTTGCATTATTTGTCTAAAATAATCTGATTTCTCTTTTTTGGGTTTCTGGAGATTATAAACAACATAGAAAACTATTATAAGACTATGTCCTGTCTTACAGACATCCCTTTAGTCCAATTCTGACTTCCACCATGGTCTACGATTCTCTGCTTCCTCCTAGCAGTTTCTAAGCTTCTTAGGTCCTTGCTACTGATAATCTATGTTTGCAAGGTCTAACTTGGCAAGAGCTTTCTTGGCCTGCCCCCTTTTTTTTGTCAAAATGTCCAGTTTTTGCCATTGAAGTTCCTGGTCTCCTCATTCATCTTTTGACACACGTCTGCTTTTGTTGCACCTGGGACGCTGCACATTTGCTGATCCAAAGAGAGATAATTTACAAATCATCCCACCCCTGGATGTCACATTTTTCCTTTTTTGAACTAACTCTTGTTTGATATTTTACTTAGTTGCATTGGCCTTTTTTTTTTTTTCAATGAGAAGTATTGGATTTCAGTCCAGCTTCTTGGTTCAACAGAAATACTAGCTCATGATTTCTCTTTGGAAATCGGATCTTCTTAGTAATACCTTTTTGATCTGAGCAGGAGGTCAATTTAGGGAGTAGTGATGGTTATTTTGCTTAAGAGAAAAAGTTGATGGAAAAGCTTAGTGTTTCTGTGATCAAGTACTGTTTGTTGTCTACAAAGAAACAGGTCTTACACAGCTTTTATAAATGTGAAAAAGCTTGTGCTTATAATTGCAAATATTTTTGCACCAGCACTTTGTTCAAGAGTGTTTTCTTTAAACTTGTTCTGTGTCTCACATTGGCTCATTTGGGCTTCTTTGCTTCTTTTCAAGACATAGTTAAATAGACTTTTTTTCAGTGGCAGGATTAGTTTAGGTTACCAAGGACAGGCTCTATCATTTGCATCTTCTGTGCTAGTACAGCTGGGGTTTTTTGGTTACTTTTACTTGGGGAGATGGAAAATTAGCAGTTACGGGGTGAGGTTATTTTTCCATTGTATATGTTCTTTGATTTTCTTCTCCATGCAGCCATATAAAAAATTCCTATCCAAAAAATGGGAAAAAAGATGCTGTAGAGAAGTGGATGAGCAGGGGCAAGACGTCTTCAGATAACGCAGCCACCGAATGTGTATCTGGTTCCAGACTGTGATTGCACAGTGGTCTGAGCCAATCTGACTGTGATCTTGATCCCCGTCTCTAGTAGTGCGTTCCTGCCCCTTCCCTTTCATTGGCTCTGGCTCTTGTCGTACCCTGTGCTAACCTGTTTCCATTTGATAAATTGGCAGAAAACTAACCCAAGAACAACAAAAAGTGAATAGTTTCTGCTTAGCTTGCTGGAGTAGTTTGGCCTAGAGCCCAGTGAGCACTGGAAAAAGAACTTGCAACAAGGCAGAGGCAGCAAACTTGAGATCACCTGCTCTTAATTCGCCTTCTTTTTAGTACCTTTCTTGTGTTCTCGTATTTTAGATAACCTGCTAGACACTGCTTCCTCTGTAGCAGCCAGCAGCTCATCAGTAATTCAGCCTGCTTATTATTATAATGCAGTTTAGATCAAGAGTGAAAGAGAACGGGTAAAGAGAACTGAGATACCTTTGGAAGAATTCAGCTTCTCTGCCTTGCAGAGTCGAAAATACTGCATTTGCAGAATTTTATGGCTTTTAAAATTTATTTAATGATACTAGACAGAATTATTGGAAAAAAATCTTTTAAATGTTACTGGGTTTTAGAATTTAACGCATGGTTATCAAGTTAGGTAGCTAACTCCTGAACCATGTTATGCATTTAGCAGCAGTACCGCCTAATTCTTATTTGCTGTGTGGGTCCTGTTCTTGTGTTGGTACACAGCAGTGGTTGGTAAAGGTAGGGTGGAGGATGACAAATAAAGGAAAGAGAAGACAGTAACCACTTAAGCTCTTTAGTTAGTATCCTTAAGCACCTCTAATGTCAGATTAAAAAGAATACATTTTGAGGTGGTTTTGTTTACCTTATGGATTTTGAAGCTATATCCTTCACATTTTTACGCTTTTTGTTCTTGAATTGTAAGGCTTTTAACAATTAGAATTAAAAATTAGTTTTGTTTATGAAATAAGTATTTTAATGTAATTGTAAGAGTTAAAGCTTTAAGAAAAGCATTAACCATCACAAGACTAGGTCAGGTAACTTTACAAGTTAAATATTTGAGTAGTGCTAAGGTGGCAAGAATGCAGAATTTACATATTTCGAAGTCCCTCATTTTTTATTATGAAATTAAAGTGTGGAGGCTATATGCAAGTATTTTTCTGTATATTATAGTAATAATAATAATTAAATAATTTGGCTTTTCATCAAGACCTATGGCTAGTATCCCAAAATACATAAATATAGAGTATATGTTTGAAATATCTGAGGGTATAATTTGTTTAAATATCAAGTGAAAGCCCTCTCCTGGTACTTGCTGGCACAGATGGTTTTTGAATACTGAGCTTCCAAAGGCAGCCTCAGGGCTAGTTCAGTGAATCACCGCTTATTGAAGACAGTCATTTTAGGGATAAGAAAAAAATGCTCTTTCTCACATAGTGGAAGAGCAGTCATCTTAAGGATATTCAGCAAACTATCCCAAACACCATCTTCCACAATTTTGCAGGACCATATGTTGGGCCAGCACTCAAGGGAGATCTGATATTTTTTGTCTTTTCTCATCCAATGTATTCCAACCATTATATTAGTCAAGAAAGATGTTCTTGCAGACCTGGAAAGTCCCAAAATAACTACAGTTAAAACAGTGATGTTTTGTGTAGAGAAAAGCTAATTACTAAAGTGATTGTGAAATGTATTTTGGGTATGAGGCACCACATTTTTTTAATTAAATTCATCTTTCAGATGGTATAATTTGAACATTTTAAAGCTGTTTTCATGTGAAGGTTTTGTATAAAACATGATTAAGATTCTGGTTTCAGACCTGGAAATCTGTGTTATACCAGAGACTTCCAAATTGCAGATGTAGAAAAGTTACTTAATATTCCTCTCTATCAGATCTTTATACTACTAGTAATTCCTAATTTCTAAGTGGAAATGTAAGGA